TTATTTTAATAAGCGCATTCTGGATGTAGGATAAAACTAAATCCATGAATAGTTTAAGATCATAGATTTCCAGAATTCTTAAAATTTTCTAGAAAATATAACAAATCCACGACTTTAATTAATATACACAGAATACTACATTTCATTTCATATGATAATAAACATTTGATACAATGAAAATGTGAAACGTTATATAAATAAAAAGCACCTGATTGGAAAATTATGTGCAATCAATACTTTAGTACACGCATCCTTGACAATTTGATATCACATCGATGAAACCGCTCTAATCTCGTCCACGTGAAAAAGCGAAACAGATATATTCTATTTCCCTTTATTCAAACCGCGAAACGAAACGAGATCCAAATTCCGCTGATTACGACGTTGGGGAAAGTTTTCGCGGAACAAATCGTCGAGATGAAAAGGTTTTAAAATTGGAGTACGCGTGTAAAAAAAAAAAAGAACACACACGAACGAGAAACGAATCCCATCTATATTTGTACACACACACACACACACACATATCCGTACACACGCTCGTTGCGAATTCCCAACCCCAACCCCTCTCCCCCAATTATTTTTAATTACTTCCCCGTTACTCCTTGTTTTCCTTCCCTTATTTTTTTTTTTTTTTTTAATTAAATTTCCACTCCTCCTTATCCATCCTTTTCCAATTTCTCACCAGCCTATGGTAATTTTTTCCTCGAAGAGAGGTGGCGCGCCGAAACCAAACTGGCCTTAAAACGACCAATTAAAACGAATAAACGAATTTCTATTAGAATGTAGTAATTAAAACCGCGTGTGGCAGGAACACGGGTCGGGGCGCGCGGTGTTGTCAGCCAGCTAACGAGTTCCCTTACTTTTCTTATTACGCCACTATCTAATTTCCCCGCGTGCAATCTTCCACGCCGATTTTCTCACGTAACGTAAAACGCCGTCGCGTTCAGATCCCGGCGGTGGCGAGTCAGCGAATCTCCCCGTGGGAATTCTCGGTCGGACAGGTTTGCGGTAATAAACGGGGACGATTGTTTCGAAAAGAAATGGGGATGCTGTGCGTAGTAATACATTACTAGCCGTGCTTTCCTAGCGTGATTTATATTTAGGGATTAATAACAATCCCTTCTTCTTGTGCGCTCGAAGTCGAAATAACAAATTCGAGGTGTTTTTGACGTCTTGTCTCCTGTCAGGATCAGATCGTTTGATTTTTAAGTTGGAATTATTCTAAAAGAGGTTAAAATTTGTCGAAGAAATTCTGCGTCTTTTAATATAATGCTTCGAAAGTATTTGCAATGGTGCTTTTGAAGTCTTGTAGCGTGCCTGAGAAAGTTAAAGAGAAGGTATTCTATAGTAAATATTTGGAAAAATCGACTTTTTTTGGTCTTGCTGTATTGTTTTTTTCTTCACTATTGTTGTGGAAGAAAATATTGGAGAATTTGAAGATTCAAGTTACAGTTTTTATTAAAATGATCCTTTTCAGGAAGTTAGTTCAATATAATAGAGTGAACATTCATCATCATGATACTAATCAAACAAAAGAATAAATGAATATTACATTTCATCATTAAGCTTGAATTATACGATTTATACAGTATATATAATTTACAAAGTTAAAGATTGCAATATTTAACAACTGGAATTATCAAGATCCAATAATAAGGATGAACATAAAAGAAGCGTAAAATAATCTGAATTTAGTACTTTAAGAATAATTTTATTTTTATCATAAAAGTATATAGTTATGTGTAACAATGAGCGACTTGAAACGAGCAATATCTATATATTTATATCGCCAAAGAAGACAAAATCATAAACTTAATATTGAACTAATAACAAAGAAAAATAATAATCCAGACATGTGATTAAAAGAATCTTTAGATAGTTCGAATGGCATGATTGCAAGGGAAAGAATGGAAAGAACGCAATAGCTACGTCCGCAGAATAGCTACGTCATGGTGACAGTAATTGTGCCAATACCCTTTCATCGAATCCCTAAAGATCGTACCAATTCGGAAGATTACCTCCGACATCTCGAACTTCAATCCTCCGTGGAATCACTTTCTACCTTGAAGAATAAGAACGCCGGTAGGAACAGTATTTGATTACGTGGGAATCGAACACATTGCGTGCGTCTTGTTCATTTTGTTTCATGCGATCATCTATATTGATGAAATCTTTCGAGAGAAAAATAACGATTTAATATCCATCGTTGTTTGAGATTGAACATAAAAAAAAATTTATGCTATTGTACTATGGATTGATATGAAAATAAGAGAAATTAGATTGAGGAATTTTGTGCAAATATATAACTTTCATTGAGCTTAATGTTACGTATGTTTTGCATGTTTTATATAAATGACATAATAATGTTCGATTGCAAATATCGAAAAATTAAAAAAAATCTATAATATTTGTTTGATTAATCTCGAATAGTTAAATAAGTTTAATTATTATTAAGCAGTTTTTAAATCAGTTTAAAATTTTTAATAGTTTTATATATAATATTTTATCAAATTTTAACATATTAGTAAAAATTCCATCGAATTTCAAAGTTTTCATCAATAGAATTTGTTCAATCAATTCTTAACTGAATAAAACATCGTTACGCAGAATCGATTCTACAAGTTTTCGTTTGTAGACTCATTTATCCCTAACACCAACCTCTTTAATCCTAGGAATTTAAGGATTAAGTATAGTAGAAATAACAGTGGAGGTATCTATACTGCCAATCCACAAGCGATATGAAACAGGATGTTGCGTATGGTAAGTAACTTTGATCTTTAAGTAGAATACAATATGGCCACTGACGGTATTGCAGTTGTTTCACAAACTTGTTGGTATTTCAGTCTTCAATCGATGAGAATTTTTTTCTCATACTTTTTTTCTCATTTAAATTTAAAACTACTTTTCTTAAAATTTTATTCTTCGTCACAATCTTCATTTTGTAATAATTATTTAGTAATTTCTTCAACATAAACTAGGAAATTTTTATAGAAAATTTTTCTGCACCAACCTGCAGAAGTAGTACCAATAGTTCCTAGTACCAATTACTTGCACCAGATGGTGCTGCTATTCACAATAATCGTTTTATGAAATAAATTATTTTCAATAATTGCATTTAAATGCAAAAGTAACGAGAAAAGAATTTCTCTCAAAAGACTCATTTCAAGAAAATAGTCAAAAAATTATTTGAATAATCTTCTTTATAAAGTAAGCAGAACGAAATAAAGATAGAGAAGTTTGTCGAGATATTAGTTTATGATAGTCTATTAATACTATTCTAGGTCATACCATTTTCGTGTACTAGATTTTCCTACATTACTGCGTAGATTCTGATTAATTTTACGAGCATGATTACACATAACTAACAATCCGCTTATTCTGTAGGAATTGGACGGTAGTTTACTTGCCTTAACAACCCTAGTTATGATAATGTCAGTACTAATTATGGCGTATTGCGTGAACCAAATTAATCCAATAGTAACTGCAAATAACAACATTAAAACTTTGTCTTTTTCATCAATTTCTTGATTTATACATAGAAAGAAATTTTATCTAATTAACTTTATTAAACCAATCCTTTTTACAATTTCGAATAATACTTAAAAAAAATTATAATTTTAATGTTAAAAGTCATAATATAACCAAAAATTATAAATGAATAAATAAAGTTGCAATATTTTAAGGATAATTTTGATCGCCATTATTATTCTAATTTTCTCAATTAGAAGAACCCATTGCCTTTTGTAATCACAATTTACTGGTCTTATTACATTATCATTTTTACCAACATCTGCTAATATCGACAATTTTAAATTAGTATATATACTGATTATTTAAATTTGGCAACTCGTCCATTCAAATACTTTCATTTAAAAAATAAATAAATATAATGATCATAAAAATTCTAAATTCTAAACGTATTAGTAACAATATGTGATATCCAATCACAAGAAATAAAATAAGATGTAAATACAATTAAAAATATTCTACTATTCTTGAAATATAATCGATTGACCAAAAAAAAAATTCGTTTAAACCACAAACAATTAAAGACAACCGCAAACAACTGTATACATCGAATCCATTATTATCGATCCCCTTAATAATCAAGCTGACAGGTATCACGAAAGCCATACAGATTTCCTTTCGTAAAAGCAGAGAATCACAGGAAATTCGGTATCGATATCAAATTGTTCGATGAACCTAGAACTTATTGGTTGGGGTAGCAGTACAAACCATCGTTTCTCTCGTGCGCGGAGATAGCAAGATCGGTCTAGAAAAAAAAAAGGGAATGAGAAAGAGAGGAAGAGGGTGATCCTGTGTGGCGCGATAATTTAAAAAGCATGATAAATTGACACGTACGTAGGAATAAGCCGGCACGAGAAGGGGCTTATGACTTCGGCCAACCGCATCGGTAGTGCTCGATAAAGTCGGTTAAAAAAGGGGTTTAAGGGCCACAGAAAACGAGGTGAAACGATCGTGTCGATGGAAAAATGAGCGAGAAAGACTATGCAGATGGGTTGTCGGAAGCGTCAGCTGGAGTTTCGAATGGAAACGGTTAGGGTGGGATTCGCCGTGATAATGAATAGGTCTTGGATATACAGGGTGTTAATATATATTCATGCTACATTTCACTCGATTTATTCTGGAGGACAGAACAACCACGCAAAAGTTGGTGCACATAAAAATATACACCAGAGATTTATCGATCAAATTAGGAGCAATTTATATTTGTGTAAGACGAAACGAGATATCTCCATCTTCGTTACACCCCCCATTTTATTCTATCTCATTCTGTTTAGAACGAACTTCAATTCGCTTAATAAATAACTCGTAACTTAATAAGTAAATCGATCTTTTTCTATCGATTTTTGTGATTTTCCAAAGTCGTCCCATAAATATATTGACACCCTGTATAGAGTGCAGATATGATGGCGCTGGCGGATGGCGCGGGCCGGAAGGAGGGAGTCCGGCGGATACGAACTCGGATAGCGGAACAGTGGCTCAGTTTGTTTTCGTTGGTCCTTGTGGAAGGTTCGTAGTGGTCGAATTTTCGTACCAAAATTCGCCGGCTCGCACAGTTCTTTATTTTCTTCCTCCCGATATACATCGATACGATCGCTATCAATTTTCAAAGAATTCCCGAAGTAACGAGAGTTACTACTACGTGTCGACATCGTGTGTAAATGTCGTGATATGAACGAAGATCGATTACTCAACGAAAAGATAGTCGTGAGTAAAGTGTCAAGTGCGAGCGGACCATGAATACGATGTTACGATGCTGGCTCCTCTGCAGTTTCTTTCTGCTAGGATGCATTCAAGGTCGGTGCGCAACCCTTTTATTTACAATTAATTAGATTCCATAGAGTCATACTCATCGATTCATCAAATACAATCTCCAACTTCACCCATCGATACCTAAGACCAGTTTATCATCGTAACGATGTATCCACGGAACAAACGAATGCACGATTAACATGATATAATAGCTACATGTTCATGTGCACCATGTCCAATTTCGCGCTGTCCAATGGAAGGACCGCAGGTGGCCAATACAGTTGGCCGATACGAAATTGCTTCCGGTTACGAGTTTTCGTGGGGGTCCCGCGCGATCCCATGGACGTCTTTTTGCCGGTGTTTATGCACGCGGCATAGCCACGTGCTTTATCTCCTCGCGACAAACGAACTCGAACGCTGTGCCCCTTTCCTTCCCCCTTTCATTTCCGTTTTCCCTACCAAATGATATACGTTTGCACACGACTGCATCGAAAGTGTTTTAAAGCTTTCGAGCTTTTTTTGTTTGGGAAAAAAGGGGAAAAAGTTTGCGAACCTCGCTGCGCAATAGAAGGAGCGAAATTCCGACATTCTGCGACACCACGACCGTATCCTTGGCACACATCGTTCCACCGAGCTTTACCACGTTGCTTTCGAAGCTATTTTTAAGCGGACCCACAGTTCACCGATCCGAGCGTGCCAGTCCTCTTCTCTGTTCATCGCGTCGTTTTCGGCCCGCGTTTCGCATTCGAAACAGCGATGCTGTCATGGCTCTCGCGCCCTCATTTCCATCAAGGCAATCTAATTCGATGGGTTTTGGAAATAGAAACGGGGAATGCGAAAAGGGAAAGCAAGAGTAGCAAGTTTTCTTCGTCTCGTGTTTTCACCTTCGTTTTTCGGAAAAATTTTATCAATGAGATTTTTTTTTTGAGTATTTTTAAATGCGAGAATAGATTATTGGCTCGATCGAATTTTTCTCCTTGTTGATTCCTCAATTATGTATTTCTCAGTGGAAAAAGAATTTTAGTACACGTTTAATCTGTAATCACGTGGCACGGTTAAAGAGATATAAAAATAGACGAGTATTGACGTGTAAGCTTGAAATTTTTCGCTATAATTATCGAGCTCGTTTTATATTTTCATTTCTCATTCGATTCGAAACGAATTCGAAGATAATTTTGTATGGTTTCTTCTTGAACAGATTAATGGTGGAAAAACATTCCAAAAAAACGAAACCGTTCTTTTCACCAGTACACGATTCTTCATACAGATTCTTATTAACTATCATTTTACTTATTCAATACGTTTTTTCTCTCTTCTCTCTCTTCCTTATATACCTACAATTTAACTTTATCATTGGAAGGTGCAAGGTGCGCGGAAGTGGAGCGCTGTCCGTATTTCTTTTTCTTTCTTTCTTTTCTTTTTTTTTTTCTTTCCTTAGAATCGTTCCCCTTTATGCGGGGTTTCCATTCATCGTGAATCACGTGCTGATAGACACGACCGCTCGAGGGCTCGTGCACGGTAAAGCATTGATTTGGAACGATCCTCTTTAAAAATGATACAATACGTATTTTAAATTGGAAAATAAATGTTATATGTCGAGTTATTTAGTTGAAATCGCCACATTTTCTTTGTGTAATTCTTTAGATAACTTTTGAATTTATATCTGGAGCAAAATTTCATTCTTGAATTTCTTATAAATCTCTTAAGTATTTGATTCAACGAGCGATTGTTCTATAACGAGGTGGAAACTTCAATTACTTAGAATTTTTCGAGATTTTTTTTTTTTTTGTAGAGGCTAGAACAGTGAAATAATTGCAGACATAAAGGATCTAGGTTAGATTACTAAGGATCTAGTTAGAAAACTTATGAATGAAGTGAATTTTTTGTGATAATAGAAATAGAATCGGGTTAAGAAGATTTTCAGCTTTGAGAGTATCTTTGTAATAATGTGAAATGATTCTAATTGCGTGTCCCGTTTTGTACATTAATACCATATGATATTGCAACAGTTAAACATTGTAACAAAGATACATCACTTTGGAATTACTTTGTTTATTAGTTTATCCAGTAGGAACTTTGGTCTTACAAAGTTATTAGATTCAAGTCACTGTTAATCGCTTTTGAAGTACATGTCGCCATTGTTTTACTAAGTGCACGTAAACGCGTAATTTACACGTCCAGCAATAGCAACTGGATTAAACACTTCCTTGAAATGCAAATTGAGCTATTGTCCAAGGATTTTAGAAATTTGAATTTAAAAAAATTATTCCTTATTGAATGTATAATTACTTATAATTATACTTATAATTACGGAGAATAAGTAGTCAATTAATTCAGTAATTAATTACGATGATATAATTATATCATTGATAAAAAAGAAATGAAAGAAACTTATATTAATCATTAAAGCTTTGATCAAGTTTGAATTTATTTCAGTTTCGTTTTGCATTGTTTCTTCTTACATCACAGGTAACTTTATACAGTTAATATGATACTGGATGGTAGACGATGCCAACTGGCATGTGTAATAAAAAAGCAAATTATATTTTCAACTGTCAGACATTTAAAATGAATGTATAAACGAACTCGGTTATTTTTAAGCATTCATCGAAAATTTTTAGAACATGTGTCATCGATGAATCGTAATCGAAATTGGTTCATAAACTATTAACACATATTTGCAAACGTAGATTTTACGTAGTTTTCGTAAATTATTTCATTTCTATTTTTATTATTTCTCTCGTATTCCTCAATTACGATAGATTTCTTTCAAATCTTCTTTCTTTGAATCGTTTGTTGCAATTAAAACTTATTCAATGAAATAATACAATTTTGATGAATTAAATAAAATGAAGTTTATTACACTTTGAATATGTTGTGGTTTTCTGCACATCATGTGCATTCTTTAGATTTTTCTGCATTTAAATTTTGCATAAATATCAGATTAACAGATTAATATTATAGGCCTATATATAATTCAATCTATCAAATAACGGATTAACTCGTTATTCGACTTATTAGCTTTTGAATACTTAAATCCTATGGAGAATGTAAAATAGCAATTAACAAATTAGTTAGCAATTAGATTTTCTAAGAAATACTTTTACAATTTTTAACTTTAACTCTTATTTGAAAATTTATTTAATCCTTCATTATCCCTCTGTGCTGCAAAAAAGATAAAAATAAGAAAAATTGTATTTATCAAAATATTCGATAAAAATCAATTTTCATTGAATAAAATCGTTCAGAATTAAAAAAAAAAAACCTTTGAAGTCGCGATACTCCAATAACCTATATAACACACAAACATTTTATAATTAATAAAATCAATTTTAAAGCGAAATCTTTCATTCAATTATATATTCGTAATTACGTTTTAATTTTATTGATAACAAAAAAAGTGCACACGTTAATTCGTGTCACAACTGAGGTATTGTAGTACGCGTTACCGCACTTATTGGAGATGATCACCTTTAATAGAAGCGGAGGAATTTTAAATTACACCGTAGCCGTTACGTCGCAGCATTGAAACTGTCCTGTGTGTCACTGGATCACTGTGTGCCTGTCCTCGATTCTATTGCGATTTTCCGGCAGAAAATTTGTTATATTACGCTTAATAGAGCACAAGTTGTTTAGAAACATTGTTATTCGACCAGTCGAATAAACTTTGTAATATATATTTTTGTTATCAACTGTATTACTCTTCTTAATCTTCATTCCACTAAAATGAGATTGCCGAAGTTCTTTGTCAAGGGAATTCCTTAAGCTACATTGCTTTATCGTTTAGAAAACAACTTGTGTCATTTACAAACTTTTCGTATTCCTGACCATTATTCGATTATAAATTTTGGCCCTTCCTGGAATTTTTGTTCCATGTAAATCACGAGTATTCGACAATGATAGAATCAGGGATAAGATGGAAATATGAATATTTTTTCCAGAAATGGAAATGGGAATTTTTAAAAAAATATCTCGAAACTTTCGAATTTCCCAATAATTCGGGATTGCTGAGAATATTTGGAATTTCTTAGAATGTTTCTAGAATTTAGAATCCCCAACATTGCTGACAATCCTGAAATTTTTTGGAATCAGGACGCGTTCCCGAAACTTTCGAGTTTTCCAATAATGTCCAAAATTCTCTGGAATGGTGTTAGAATTTAGATTCTCGATATTCTCAGAAATCCCGACATTTTCCAGAATTAGGACGAGTTTCCTAAACTTTCCTATTTTTCAATAATGTGGAAAAGAGGGGAATATAAGTCTTAGAATTCAAAATTTCGAACGATATTTATCGAAATTTACCGAATTCTCGCGCATCATTTTCCAATACTCGAAAATTACAAATTTTTCTGGATCCTAACCCGATCAATGCCTTAGCCAGACTCGAGTATCTACCCACATATCCCTTTTTCAATACTCTCAGCACGAAGAATAGGAATAAAAGGAAAGGATCGTTCTTTCGCCCTCCCTCGTAAATCGATCCTCCGCAGTCCACATCCCCTTTTCTTTTTTTTTTCCTTCCTTGTCACTACTGTTCTTTTTCGGTATTCTTCAGAATGCTGGCAACTCGTGATAAAAAACGTCACCATACCGTCGATGGTGAAAGCCAACGATACCGATCATGTGATCCTGGATTGCGATTATGATCTCGAGGACACGCCGAGCAAAGGATTAGTCGTAAAATGGTTCTTTAACACGGATGAAGTGGCCTATCAATGGATATACGGTAGGAAACCTCTGGCCGGCGATACGTTGTCGAACTATGTCGAACTGAACTACCCTGCCAGCGACGATCCGTACACAATGTATCGAGCTATAAAATTAAATAACCCCGATATCGAACTTAGCGGAGAGTACAGGTGCGTCATATCCACGTTTGCGGACGAGAAATCCGCTAGCGGATCCATGATCGTATATTGTGAGTATATTCTGCTTCCAATTTGACTGAATAATTAATTGCCATTGACTTTTAACGCTGATTTATAATAGCGAATAAAATGTAATGGTCCAATTTCTTATTAGCGTGGTTGTACAATTTTTTTCTTCTTTGGATTTTTTCTTCGTTCTCGTTTTTTTTTTTTTTCTCGTTTGTGCATGCCTTTGATTTGTATATCAATTGTGGAAAAAATAAATGAGTACGGAAGGATTTGTTTATTTAGAGTAATGTTTCTCTTAAATGGAATGGAGTAATGTAAAGTATTTATAGTTAAATTTGTGTTAAAAATATGTTCAGGGAGGAAAAATAATAGTATTAACACTTTGAAAGTTTTTTTATAATGGAATATGGTAATAGGTTTTAAATTAATTTTTTTTTTCCATTAGAAATAAGTGTTTTTTATTGTATGTACTGATTGAAACTTTAAAAATAATAAAAATTGAAATTTTATTTTTTAAAAAGTCTTGTATTAAATAAATTAATAATTCGTTTGTTCCAGCAACAGAGAAAAAGTTCGATCTTATATATACGAAGAAAACTATAGATGATAAGGATGGGGTGGAGATAACATGCTTGGCGGAAGGACTATATCCACAACCTACCCTTAACATATCCATCGAGTAAGTATTTACTTCAACAAGCTTTTTAACTGTATACAGCAAACTACTCTATTTTTTTAGATATTTTTAGATCTTGATAAAAACTTTTTCATTATTAACGAATTAATTGTTTGTACACGAAACATTGTATAATTTTAGTTTAGAAAGATTAATTAAGATTCTAATTAATTTTTAACTTCAATGTATATTTATTTATTTTTTAAAACTCGTTTAAATATAAAAAGACATAAATTATTTATAATATTTTGTATATTCTAATCTTTTTAATAAATAAATAATATATTAGAGGATAAATTTTAACAAATTCTATTGTTTAATATTTTCTAGAAAAAATATTTTATCACATTACTTAAAACGAAAACTGGTATGGAAAATTTATAAATGATAAAAACGTCGAAATAAAGTAAAAAAATAAGTATTTTCTTATCTTAACACAAGAAACTTTTTAATGATAACAAAGAAAATTGTCAGATTGTAATAATAAACTCGAAATACATGGAAGAATCATATATAGAAACAAAGCAAAAGTTAAATTATATTAAATAAATATCGTCATTATTTTAAATATTCTTTGAAATTTTCAACCTTCGAAATAAAATATCGATTATTATAATTATTTTATCTTTTGGATGACATTGGCACGTGTTTAAGTTATATAAGTAATACGCAATACGTTTTTTTTAAACTTTAAGTTAATCTTTAAATTACGCATCATTTCGTATCTTCAAAATTATATATAATAACAGTAATTTCAACTTTTAATCTCTTTCAAATACGATAAATTCTCCATAATTTATCCGTAATTTGTCTAAAATATATATTTTTAGAATAATTTAGAACTTATTTAATATTTAATATTTAAAATTTGTAACAAACTAAAAATAAAATTCTATGATTTTCCAAATTTTAAATTCTCTTTTCAATTAAAAAAATTTTTGCTCAAAAAATCTTATTTATAAAACTTCTTCCTAAATTTCAACCATTTCAACGATAAAAATTTCCACTACAAAATCAACAAAACCATTCCTATTATTTATTCCTAACTATACCATTCACAACATACTTTGATCATTTCACAATGATCAAACATTATTACAGACGATCCCTCGTATTTCCCAATTTCAAGGTAAAATTACACATGCGTCTTCGAAATAACATTACCATGCTAATGCTCGTTCAGCCGACGTATTGCATGATATTTCAAGTTGGAACGTGGCCGTGATAATTTCGCTTCTGTTGCAGGGGTGTCCCGGAAAATCAAACGTTCGATATTATACAGCGTGTCGATGGACTGTACGACGTTTTATCACGAACGACCTTTCTGGACGAAGAGTTACCGGATATAACAACTATCTCATGCTTGCTCCATATACCAGAGGCGAACTACAACGTTTCCCACGAAACCGTCTACTATCCCAGTTAGTATAAACGTATATTTTAATCTATCCTATCCACAATTAACCGTAAAAGTCTTCAGCGCATTATCTTATGAGAAATTTCACCCAATTCAGAAAATATTGTTTTAATAAAAATTGTTGTGCATGGTAAATTTTAGATAACTTTTTTCTTTCTTTTTAAAAAGAATTCTGTCCGAAAGTCTATTCAAAAAATTTTCATCTTTTAAATTTTCGATTTTTTTATTCCTATTTTTGATTTATCTTTTTATTTTTTTCTTTTTACAAAAAAAAACAAAAATAATAGATCGGAGCATTTTATATATTATAAAGTTTTATTTTGAAAATTTGAGAATTGATTTCTTCTCTTCAAAATAATATTATCTTAATAAAAAAGAAAATCGTTATATATATAATTTATTATACATTGTACATACCCACAAAGTTTCATATAAAATAGAATTATTATTAATTTTAATGATACAGTTTGTTAATTGAATATAGAGTGTGTGAAGACTTTTATAATTGATTGCATCTTCGTTTCTATTTCTATTTCTCTATCTTCCTCTGTATCGAAAGCGTTTTACTTTTGATCTCTTCATAGTTACAGTTATAAGGAAGGGTTAGAGGAAAAAAAAAAGAAAAAGGAATAGCTCGTTATTAAAGTTGGGATTAAAAAGAAAATGCAGCTCTCGAATTAACGATGTTTTATTTTCTTAACTCTTGGATATTGATTGATGTTAACCCTTTAACGGGACTCGATTTATTCGTGTTTCGCGATGTAAATATTTACCAGGTAGAGTTGTTTGCTTTTATAATCTGGATAAATTTGCTTAGTGGTTTTAAATTGCTTTAGTTTAACCTTGTTTTTAAGTTTTTCGAAATTATATTTGAGATGAATACGTGATAATTTGTAAAAAAAAAAAAGATAGAGTTAAAATGAAATTATTAATTTTCTCTTTTTTCTGCAAAACTTCACTTTTATCAAATAAATTTATATTAAAGCAAAGATATTAATATCATCTTTTGAAAGAAATTATTTTAAGAACGATTTTTAACAATTTTAGTAAGTAATTATTTATAGATATAAACAAAGATATGATAAACGAGCTTTTCTAACAATTTGTAGCTACTATGCTAAAAATAATTACATAGCTTCTACTACCGACTTCCTGCAACAACTTCCTCTGAAGTAAGTATTGCAATGCTTTGCTACTAAAAATATGATATTAATTTATAAATGTATTGAATGTTTAATGTAACTCTTGTCAATGTATGTAACATCTAAATGTATCTGAAATGTTTAAAATCGAATCGCCTTGGCTCGCGTACGTAATTGTAAGTGTATATGTCTCTGTTCTGTACAACAAGCAATAAGCACCAATGCAATAAATTAAATGTGATCGATTGAAAAATAAACAAAATGACTCATTGATCATCTGAATATTTCATATATATTTCCTATATACATATATATTTTTATTTAACATATATCGATATTCTATAAATATCCAGAAATAAAATTATACATATATTTCAATATTTATTATCATTTTCATTTTCAAACAATCACAGATTTCAACATTTTATCTTCATCATATAAAACAATTTACAAACAAATCTATCATATAAAATCATAATTTGTCCTTTTCTTACTTTCACTTTCTATTCCTTCATTCTTCGATCTTTCTTTTTAATTTGCTTCTCAAAATTGAATTTCAAAATAAATCAACCAATTTAGAGACATAAAAATTTAAAATTATCGCTGTGCTTTTTCCTAACAAAGAAAGCATTCATACAAAAATACTGTCAAACTAACTAATAGACTAAAATCATAATTGGCTGCCTCTGTTTCTAACACTTTAACTACATTGATAGAGGGATATATGCTTACTACTTGATGGACGCGATATGTGGTGTTTATTGTGCAGGGCCGCCTACTACTTCAACTGCTACAACGAAGCTGCTGCACAAAATGGAGACCCAAACGTTAAACGACTCAGAGCCTGGCAATGGTGGTGGTAAGGCTTGTAAATTTCTCTTCTTATTCGCATCACCACCATAAGCCATTCTTTATAAAAATTGGAAACTTTGACAAGATTGATGGTATTGTTTTTCTTGCATATAGGATTCCAAATTCCTGAATTTGCTGGTGAACATTTGAAAACTGCTTTAAACAATCTTTAAATGATCTGATTTCTCTGATTTTTCTCTCTTGACTCGGTTCGAGGCTAATCGAATCAAATTCAAAAGAGATTCACGTGTATTGACGAAACTCTGTTCAATGTAAAATTCTAAAATTAATAAAACATTGAAAAGTTCTAAAAAGGATACAATGAATTTTTAGAATTCGAGAATTAATGAAAATTAAATTTATTCTATCTTTGTATTTAAATTTATTGAAGTAATTTTCATTTTTAATGTTTATTGTATACATTTAATAATATGTTTGTAATTTATTAATCTGATATCAAAGAGATTCTATCAAATAAGACGAGAATTTTTATAAAATTTTTATAAAGAAAAGAATTTCTTTATAAAATTCAAATAATATGTAAAATATACAATTATATATTTCAATCACGCAAAATCACGAATGAAATTTCATTTAAAAAAAAGATGAAATGAATTAAAAATCTGCTCGTCAAAACCTATTCAAAACACAGAGGAGAGTATACCATTGAAGTCACTTTTTGAATTATCTCAATATTTCAATCGGTTGCCGAGATATAAGGATTCAAAGTAACGCTTTAAAGCGTGGAATTTATGAATGGGCCCGCGACCCAGTGACCTACATTTCTTCCTGGAAATGTCTACTACTTCCAGGAATCGCGTCTGTCACTCGTCTGGAGTTTGGGATAGGTCAGTGAGACAAGATACGTGCGAGAGATCCGGATAAACGACAAAGATAGAGATAGTAAACGATCAAAAATTACCTTTTTCTTTACACGACGATATCTCGGGAACTAGAAGTCGTATCGAGATAAATCAAAAAGCGTTTCAAAGGGTAAAGTTCCGCGCTTCTAATGATCTTTCACTCGTTAATTAAAAACCAATATCTTTGATGTTATACCGATTTAAATTTTATCTAATTTTAATCGAGTTTTAAGGTAAATTATACGATGATAATTCTGAAAAAAAAATTATTTTTATGATCTTATTAATGACGTAATTGATAATTTTTAATGGATTTAATAGCTATTCTAAATCTTTACATAATTATCGAATATTAATATTCAATATCGTAATTTCTCTATGTTTGCTCATATTCATAGATATTCTAATCGATTTTCAACCGTGAATAAGTAATAGTGAATAAATATTCTTGATTTTCGTCTTATTTTAAATCATAGAATATACAAAGAATTAACAACTTCTGTATGTATACAGATATTATTACACGTGAATTTCTTTTCAATTCAAAAAACTTGATACAACTTCGAATTTTGAACAAATTTGCTTCTGGCATCTGCACTTTATTGCACTTTGATGTTTCTTTTGAGACATTTTGTATTTATGTATTAACCCTTAAAAGTTTTATCGTCAATGAAACTTAAATAAAAATAGTATTTCGGGTAATTTCATCCATGATAAATTGCTTTTAAGGATTAACATTGCTGTACAAAATATTGATATGCTAACTATGCCGGCTTGCTCTAGCAAAATAACCAATATTTGCATATGATATACAAAGAATACACGCACAATTCCTAGCATCGGATAAATAAACAAACATCAAGTGTTTACAATTTTATTATTATATGCTTTATAATGGAAACTATACATCTCTTCATAAATATTCCATCGAAATTAATATTTGTACAAATTCGAACGATGAACACGCTAGCTTTATCAAAAATAAATATTCAAGCATGAGGAAAATTAATTTTAAATGTAAATGTAAATGTAAATGAATTTTTCAAAATTCAATATTAGGATAAACGAATCATCAGAAATTTATTCAAAATTTATTTATTCATTTGAACGTTCAACAAGGAATGCAAAGTGCATTTGAAAATAGGGAAAAGAACTTTTCCGGAAAACTAAATTCCATTGAAGATTATTATTAAATTGTTCGAACTAACATGTCCCCATACATAACACCCTTTCCCTCATGGAAAATTTCTTCCATTAACTTAACCGAAGTTTCCAAGGTATATCTTTATTGCGGAACAAACTTCCATCCGACGATTAAATCGAACATTATCGAAAAGATCCTTATTCTCATCTCAAAACTTCTTTCATCAACGATTAAATTTTACGTTCGCCCATTTTTGAAACATCTTATACCACTCCGTTATATCCGTCCTTTTCTTAGATTCTTCCTTCTCCCTTCCTCCCTCTCTTTATTCATCCATCCTTGACATTCTTTTGAAACATAGTATTACATTCATCTTTTTTCAATCTTTCTCTCTCTCCTTCTCTACCTTTTTACATTCTTTCGAAGCTTTCTTCACTACTGTTACATTCATCTTTTCTTCATAACACTATCTCTCTCTATCTCTATTCATCTTTTTAATATATTTTTTAAATATATTAAAGTATATCGTTGTTACATCTTCTCTTTCCATCCATCCACTTTTGGCATTCTTTTGAAGCATCCTGTATCCTATCCTGCTCCTGTTCTTTTCCATTCTTACAATCATCCCTTCCCTTCATCCCTCTCTCTCTTTCTCTCTCTTCTTGGCAAACGATTAAATCGGCCAATGGGAAAAAGTTTCGAGCAATGAAACCGTTTCTTAAGTTAATGGAGGAAACGATAGATAAAAGAAGAAAGTTCACAAATAAGAAAGTAATTAGCCGTGGAAGGGAGTTAATTCTTACTGCTAATGGAAACCCTTTCCGTTGATGCTGGGGTGAGAAAAGAAGAAACTCCTCTAATTTAAAAACATGCAGTTTACATTAGCGATCCGTGACTTAAAATAACGTGAAACGATGTTATGTGCCATCGTAAACTTTTGATCGTAAACGGAATGATATTCGATTAAAATTTCTAGAAGAAATACTGTACTGTATATTTTCCAATTTAATGGAAAATTATCGATACGTTTATCGAGTTTTAACGAGACGATTTCGAAATGATATTGAAAAGTATTGAAAAAAAAGTATGCTGTTATCGATCGTAAAAGGAGGAAGGAACTGGAGGGATGTTCTTTGTGAAATTTAAAAGAGGAATTCTCAGATAGCTTAGAATTATGCACCTTTGACATTTGTAAGACACTTGATGCCTTATGAATTGTGTGGCCTTTCGACCCAATTTCTCTATCGTTGCGAAATCTCTTGAATTTAAAAAATGAAGTAAACGTTTAATAATAATTAGATTTTTATCTTGTATAAAAATGAATCGAGATAATTTTCGTACAAAGAAAAGTATAATATTATTAGTGCGCAAGATAGAAGACACCGGTGTTGATTAATTTTAAATTCTTAAATGAAAAGGAAGTTTAACAAGTAAATAAATAATTTAATTATATGACGTTCGCAATTCTAAAAGAATCTGGAATCTGAAATTGATAAATTGTTAGCTTTTTAATATCATTAATATATATATAATAATAATTAGAAAAACATACTGAAAATATATTTCGAACATTGTTAAAATTAATTAATGAACATGTATACTTTTTTCTGATATTAAATTACGATGATTTCGTTACAGGAAATCTGTCTGGTCAATTGTCAATTAATATTCTGCATTATGCCATTATGCCACTAATCATCATATTCAATTATCTTCAACCGTTTAATTAGGTGAGTAAATTAATATTTACTTAAATTAATATTTTTCAGAATAATTTTTGTATTTTAGTTCAACTATATTCACATGATATGATATATTTTACATTGATTTAGTTTACATACCTTGAATAAAGCATCAAAGAGTTAATAACTTTTTTCAAAGTTGGATACATGTAATCCAAATAATTTCCATTTTATCTTTTATATTTTAATGATCTGCCAACTTCGTTATTCCAATTTGACAAACTCCTTTAACAAACTTTAAAAATCGTTTGCACAATATTTTCAAAGACTTTTTCCTTCAAAGTAATTAATTAAAAGGAATCAATTTACATATTTATAAACGTAACAAATCTTTCCGACTTTCGCTTTGAAAATCTTTTCTGCATAAATATGTTCCCTTGATAAACTGTCATTTAAATATCAAATATAATTTTTTCTTTTTTTTTTCCTAATTTAAATTCCAAATTGCTCAAGTATTTCGTAATTTTAAAATTATAAATATATTTTTATTTTGTATATACATATCCTGCATAAATTCATCGATCTAATAAATTCATTATTATTGAAATATTTGTTTTCAGGTTTAAAGGATTCAGAATTATCAAAATCATTTGTACTACGCCTAAGATACTTATTGATAAACACGGTGTGCCTACGTTAAATGTTGTTTCACAAAATACAGACAGAGCCAAGTGTCAAAGTTCACGCTGGAAAGTTTATAACTATTCACACGCGTACATAGGTACACAATACATTAACAAGATAAGATGTAATGTGCTGTTTAGAGTGTTCTTTTTTATTTGTATTCTTAATGAAATTCTAGTTGTCGTGATTGAGCACGATTTAAAGGAAAACCAAAGATATTAGATACACGTTGATCGAGAAATAAGAGAAGAAGAAAAGATAAAAAAATTTTATAGACAAATATTCGATATGACTTTGTAAATAAGATTTGATCGTAATATAATTCGAGTCATGATTGTAGATTCTGTTTGTTATGTATCTTCGGTGTTATGTCAGATTTATAATATATATATATATACATTGTTTAAATGAATAAGATAGTATGAAACTTTAAATATGATATAGGTACAAGATGTGTAATATATGTGTATAAATATAAAGAAACGATGATGAAACATGCAAAAGAGAAAAAGATAAGTGATTATATGTGTAATTATTTTGATATGTGTATATAAATAAGTGCAAAAACATGCGAGGATTATGATTAATACGATGGAACCTTGATTTTTTGAACGAAGTTTGGATAAATAGGAATTTTGAATATTGGGATAAAATATCAATTTTAAAAAATGACAAATAATTGATTTAGGAAGGAATTATTAATTAGAGAGACAGAAGAAGAAAAAAGAATGTCAATAGATCGAGGTTCGATTGTATTTAAGAAAGAAGGATAGATTCTAGTATCTTAGCTCAGGAAAACGAATTGTACAGTCTCTATAATATGATATTGCAAACGATTTATTATACGTGTTATTTATATTATATATGTTTCCTGAACTCAAAACGATGTGAAAATTAAAAATATATATTCTGACGAAGAAAATAATTTAAAATTTAAATAATAAATTAGAGCAATTTTGAATACAGAAGATTTCTATTTCTATCATATTAATTGCCATCCAAAGAGTAATGAATTTACGTTTAATGAAATATTTAATTGCTATTTTCATTGAGCTTTGTGAATTTATGTTCAGAGAAAGGTATGTGATAAAATAAAACAAAGCAAAGATAAATAAAAATAAGAATGTGTACCAAAGTTCGTGACTAATAAAATTAAGTTTAATTTTGTATATAACACGTGAAAAAACATTAGCCAATTTTTGGAAAAATCAATGTTAACGCTAAATCAATGTAACTGATTAATTTCAGACTTATTTTTTGTAATTATTGAAATTATATAGATACTTTTGGAAAAATTATATCATTATTGATTTTATTTATACGTGTATATTAAATTATTCAAGTTATTTAATACTAATTTTAATTTTAATATTATAGATGGATTGTTCCAGTGTTTTTTTTTTCGAAAAAGAAATTTTCACTTTCAATTGTGACTAACATTGAAACTTGCTTATTAGAATTAAAATTAGTATTAAAAAAAAAAATTCTCTTATACATTCAGAAGCAAGAATATATTATATTAAATCTTTTGTTGTTTAATTGAATTTCATTGTTCACAAAACTGAATGTACACGAAGCGAAAATAACGCTGAACGAAAAAGAAAAAAGAAAGAAAAAAAAATTATGATAGGCGTTATAATTGTAAATAAAATTTCTGTAACATTTCTAGTCCTTTAAAGATGAGAAGTCTATCAGAGGAGATAAGGAAAAGATGAAAGAGGAAAGGATTGTGTATTATAATTAAATTAAATTATAGTATAATTAATTTCTAGCTATGCTTTTTAGAGAAAGAAAAAAATTTTTCATATTTGTAAAATGAAATATATTTCTATACCAAAGGGATGGTGTACCTATATCATTGAATGTTCCACGAAACATTGAGTTCTAAAAAAAGATGTTCGATATAAAAAAATCGATAATTAACATTCACCTTCTTCGCTACGCTAATAAAAGAAAATATAAAAAAAAATAATAATAATTTAAAAACAAGATATACTTAAAAAAAAATAAATAAATAAAAATATATAAGCGAATCAAACTTATTTTAGAGGGATAATATCAGAAATATGAATATAATGCGTACCTCGAATTAATAGGATAGCTGATAATTTCTCTCTTCAATTATATAATAGCTTTTAAGAAATCAGGTTTATATTTTTGTAATGTTTTCACACATGAATAATAGTTGTCTTAGTATTTGCTTTGTTTGATATTAACAGTTTGATATTCTTAATTATTAACGTTTTTTTTCTTTTAATTAATTCATATTTTTGAAGTGGTTTTTGCTTGTCATGTTTTGATGCTACTTTTATTTCTTTTTTTTTTTTTTGTTAATATCAAATCCTTCTCAAGGATTTATTTTAAAGGGAGGAAATATGATGTGATTCTTCAATAATAAATTCAATAATAAATTTTTATTTCATCTGCTTTTTATTATAAAGAATTCTCGTAATTCCTCATTCTTCGATTTTCTAATATTTTAATGATGTTTTAGTGATATTTTCTGTAATATTTAAAAAGTCGAATAAAAATGTTAACAAACGCATTTTGTTTAATTTCATATTTCTTCTGTTTATTTTACCTTTATTGCATTTATTTTGGGATATTTGATTTTCATTTTAATATAATTTTTATTTAAACATTTGATTTATGTTTGTAATTATTAACATATGTATATAAAACATATTTCTTTAATATTTATAAATTAATATATATACATTTTCTACGATATATAGAAAAAAAAATTTATATGTATGCTTACGATATCTAAAAATGTAAATATATGTATGAAATAGATAAATGACATATAAATATATTAAAATAATCATGTATAAAATTTCGTACTTACATATAAAAATAGATGTATTAAGATTTTTAATAAATAAAATAAGCAAAAGATTAATCAAGATAATAAAATTAATCTGAAAAAAGTTTAAAAATTAAAGTTCATCTTTTAAAGGTATAAATTGCGAAGAGTAAGTCTAGACAAGGAGAGCAATAAGTAAGAGAAGGATAGAGATAGGGTAAAAATATTGAAATCAGCGCCATCTTCAGAGTGCCGCAAATGAAACACGTAAAAAAAGGACAGAAAATAGTGAGAGAAGGATAAAGAGAATAAAAATTGTGTATGTGGCGCCATCTCTCGAGTGTAAAAATAACTATTTAATAGAAGATAGAGCAAGAATTGAATATATGGCGCCATCTCTCGAATGCAAAGTTAACTACTCACTATAAAGGTAAAGAAGACCAAGAAATGAGTATCAGCGCCATCTCTCGAGCGACTTTTTAAGGAAATATTTTCAACACTCAATAGATGGCGCTAATGATTAATTCTTTATCTCTATCTTTGTTTTATTATCTTCTATCCTTCCTTTTCGAGTTTCATTTGCGGCACTCTGCAGATGGCGCTGATGTCAGTAGTTTTACCCTATCTCTATCCTTTTTCTATTATTTGCTCTCCTTGTCTAGAACACGTGCTTTCTTCGCACGATTATAGACTAAATGTGAAATGTAAAATGAATATATTTTCATTATTTGTTTTTCAAAATTATAATGTATGAGATATAAAAATATGCAATAAATGTTAAATATATAATTTGAATAATTTTTATATGTAGCATATATATATATATATATATTATATATATTTTTATATTTTTTATATCGTATATATATTTTATAAATATTTTAATATTCTTATATATCATAATGATGTTCTCAACTTTTTAAGAACATCTTATTATTTTATTTCACTTTATTAATAAAAATCTACTTACCAGAAAATAAGAAAATAATCAATTTCCTATATTATATTATTAAAAAATATTTGCTTGAAAATATTAATCAAAAAAGCAAAAATATAAATAAACAGGTAAACAAATATTTAACATTTCTTTATTTAAAAATATAAAATATATTCATAAAATATTTTATATTATAAAATTATTTTATAAATATATTATTTTATAACATTAAAACATAGGAATCACACATAATGATATATCAGACTTTATTTTCAATTTTCTACCTGTTTTGGTGTCTCCAATCTTTTTTTCCTTTTTACAGTCCTTTTATGCTTTATGCTTTTTAGATGAATATTCCATTGAAATTCTCCAATAAATATCCTATCGCAAATCTATCAGGGAAAAAATGAAATTTTTAATTCTAATATAAATCCAAATATAAACCAATACTAAAGAATTAAAAATTCAATATAAAAATTTACATCACAATATTGTCTTTCCTCGTTGCTACTATCACTGAATTTTTTATTCTCCACCGATTCGTTCAAAGGTTTTTGTTCAGGTTTTTCTCCTCTTAGCACAGCCTCGATTATTGCCACAGCTGGTTCATATACACAACTGTTCCATTGGTTCACATTAGTAGAATCTAATGCATAAATTGGTGGTACCTACAATCATTTTTAAATTAAAATACAAAATAATTTTATGTTATGAAGATAAAAAATATTACTAAAACTAATAGACAAACTATTTATTAGATAACACTTAGAACACTTTGTACTTGTCTGTCACTGCGACGAAGTAGACGATTCATAATCCATTTTTGCTGTTTTTTCGCATACCTCTTCGTAACCATTTTTAGGTCATCAATACCCCTTTGCAATAATTCTTGTCCCTATAAATGAAACATTTATTTATATATATCAATATATATGTATATTAATATAATTATTGATTGACATTTTGACATAAAATTAGTAGTGGAAAGAAACGTATTATATTTCCTTCATCAAAACTCATTGCACCAAATCTTTCCATCCACAGACGATAATTATATTTCTACCAATTTCAAAATTAATATCAATTTTGATCTCTATTCATCTGAAATTTGAAAATTGTAATCTGTTAGATATAATTAATAGGGGGAAAAATGAAAATTCAAATAATTCAATCAAAAGATTCTTTCACCTGGCAAAACTCATAATAGACAAGCAGATATAAAAAATAAAAGGAAAAAGAAAAGAAAAGAAAATTAATTTATCATCCTTATCTTCAAATTGTAACACATTCAACGAGAACTTGAAACTAGGTAAAAAATCCATACATCTATCTTCGCTTCTTCACCGACCATTTACTGCTCTCACCTTTTTCTCTCCCTTCTCTTCTTCTGGCAACACAAGGTAATCATGAAACTCTTTGAACCCGATACTTTGAAAAATGCCTTTCGTATAATCGATTGATCTGAAATAAACAAAAATAAATAATTTATTCAAATCTATTTCAAATCGTTCCCGTCCATTTTATTTTATTCTCGAACAACCTGTCATAATCATTTGTACAATATTTTTTCCTTTCTTATATTGATATCAAAATATGTATATTATAATCGACATTTACGAAATATATTTTCTCCTTTGATAACACTACAATTTTTTTCTATTAATAGGCCATATC